TGTGGGTGTGAATGTTGGTCATCTGTTCAACGACACCCACACCCACACCCTTTTGGCGACGTAAGCTGCATCAATTATTGTCTTTGTTCATTTCGTTTTCTATCGTTTCTTTCTTTCGTATATCGTTAAAGTTCTAATTACTTGGGAGCATCGACCAGATGTATGACAATTGGGATGAATAGTAACCGTCGAAACATAATTTGAAACAATTGTTGCACATTTTAGTATGTTAAAATGTTATTTTTCTAATATTGTTTCATATAACCTCGATCCATTACTTATTGTTGTAAATGAAGTTTTCTGTTCTGATAAGTTTCACCTTTTTTACAAAGTTAAAATAGTTGGATTAAATATTTGGTATAACTGATCTGGATCAGAATGATATGTTTTGAAGAGTACCTCATAACAAACTACGAATTGTGCCACAACAGCATTGTCCTTTGATGAAAATTTGCTTTAGTTCTCCACAGCCGTCGGACATAGCGGCTACATTGTGAGTCTGATCGGTACAGAAACATATTCTCGAGCTTGCTGCTGAGATTCACTCGATGTGGGATGATTTCTACATGACTGATTTCGAGTCACAAACAAGTGCAAATAACTTAGTGCTTTAGAATTCAAACAGCATCGATTTAATAAAATACCTTGGAAACACCGATATCCTGTTTAATGATTCAAGTTTTTATCGGAAGATTCCCTGTGCGATAGAAAGTGATCCTTCAACACTGTTTATAGCGAAACATGATCCTTGTCGAGAATGTGCTGTATTCACTTGATTTTACGTGTGTCCCAACATAAACACCGTGGGACAAATATCTCATGATGACATAATTGATCCTTTGTTCCTGCTCGGCATGATTCAGAAGGTAGTATATGGGTTCTGTTGCTAATGAATTTCAGCAGCTCGTAAATAACAGTAAATAACATCGTAGGATGCGTTTCAATATCAATGAGATGAAGTTGAATACTATTACCGAATTCATGTAGACGATCATCAAGAACTTTCGTAATCAAAACAAAGACACGTGTCATACACCGAACACCTACGACTCCTGATGAATATTGATAGAATACTCTGATGTAAAATAGCCAATAGCGAGAACTTGTTCGAATGTTCGAAAGACGATATTTTCTTCTCTTGCACGGATATTACTCATCCCCTAGCGCAATATAAATATGAGAATTGAATAATATGCAAAGTACTGCATCATTTCTATTGAAAGATATGTACAATTGGTCGTTGTTATTACTCAACCAAATACAACGCCACGTGTCACATTAAGTCATTGCACAATCGTAAGAAAACATGCAAATAGAACACGTATAAGCAACGAAAATCAACAGAGTGGTCTCAAACATAAATTCATACTCGTATTAGAGAGCATATTCATCTCGATAGTTCTATCATGACAGAGCAGATCAAACCATCTCTTCATACATTGCCGAAAGAAATCATCTATCGAATTTTTAATCATCTGGATGATTTCACTATACTATGCATTATGACTGATGTTTGTGCAGATCTTGCTAAAATCGTGCGAAGCTATCGTCGACATAAGGTAACTGTCTTTCTTATATCAGTGCTTTTTAAAAGAGTCCCCTATCATGATCTGTAACTTCGTACAATTTTTTTCTAAAGAAATTTACAACACTTCAATTGTGCAGAAATAAATTAGGTGTTAACGGAACCAAACGACTTGCTGAAACCCTCAAACACAATAAAGTAATATCGTGCTCTTATGTTTCGTTTTCTGTAATCTATACAATACATTTTAGCAAATCACTAATCTCGACGTAGCAATCAATGAAATAGATGATCAAGCGGTACATCATCTAGCCGATGCACTGCAGCAAAATCAGGTATAGATTTTTGATGTACGAATTTGGTGTTTCACTTGTTCATTACTTCACTCATTCAGACACTTTTAAGTGTGAGTCTTCAACTCAATCAAATTGGTCCAGTAGGAGCTGAGTATCTTGCTTGTGGTTTACAGAAAAATCAAGTAATGATTATTCGTCTTGCTCTAATAAACTCAACTGTCTTATTTAGACATTGACTCAACTAAATCTCTACTACAATCAAGTCGGTGATGAAGGAGTTCAATATTTAGCTATAGCACTACAACAGAACAAAGTTGTAGTTGTTCTCGATATTTCATTTCTTTGCTTACCAATCGTTTATTTTAGACATTGAAGAAATTGAACCTAATACACAATCAAATTGGTGAACATGGTGCCTCTTATATTGCTAATGCTCTACAAGAAAATAACGTACGTCGAATCAAAACTCTGGTTGAGCTCATGCTTTCAAATTCATTCTTATAAACAGACTCTGACTACTCTTTATTTGGCAGAGAATCACATTGGTGATCAAGGAGCAAAACATCTCGCCGATGCGCTTCATCACAATCAAGTAAAAGCTGCTATCTTGTCTATTTCGGTGTTTCACATGTAATCTTACCGATGTTCAGACACTTCTAACGCTTTATATCTCCAGAAATGAAATCAATGATGAAGGAGCAGAGCATTTCGCCAATGCACTGAGACACAATCAAGTACGATATATTCGATTTGTTCGATATTCTATTATGGTTATTATTCAAAATAACATAGACACTGACGACATTGAGTCTCAAGGGAAATCACATTGGCAATCACGGAGCATCGCAGCTTGCCAATGCCCTTTTACAAAATCGAGTAACGTTTCTTAAACTTTGATGTCTTGATTGGGTTATCAATCGTTTCATTCTTCTTTCAGACACTTTCGACATTGAATCTTAAATGGAATAAAATAGGTGATCAAGGAGGATGTGATTTGGCAGAAACTGTGCTTGCAAATGAAGTAATACATTTATCTTATTTTTCCTTCTTCATTCCACAATTGAATTCACATATATTCTTTTCTCTGGAGTAGAAAATCATCTTTTTGGATATTCGATTCAATGATATGAACAACGAGGGAAGGCATAAACTTCTAGAAATACGAAACACTTATCAAGACGTGAAACTACTTGTCTAACAGTTAAATAAACAAATCAACAGACATTAATTCTTAATAGTGAATCAAACTTTTTATTGTAAAAGTTCGTTTTCTTTCTTCTTTCGTGTTTATTTTATTAACCAAAGCATATATCATTTTCGATCTGTTAACTACCGAACAAGGAAATCATTTAGTGTTTCAAATAAATCGAACCATCTTTTCCAAAAAAACTGACTCATTCATCATCTTACTATTTGGCAGCGAATGACAAAGAAATCACTTTCGTTTTCTGTTCACTTACACTAAACAATTTCAGCGATATTACTTAGAAGAAACTAAGACCTTGTCATATGAACTCTCTGTTAATCACGTCTCCGACATAGTTACATAGAATAAGAGTACACTCTAATGCTGTCACAAGACGTCATTCTCAACACATTAGGATAATGTGTGACAGAATAATGACTAATTCTCATGCAGCATTATCCAAAATTATGCGGATATATTTACATTAAAAAACTGCGAACTTCCATTGACGTCAGTTTGTTATTTCACTAAAATCATTTGAAGAATTACGAACGAAAGAACATACGGCTGCTAAAACAACAACTATTTTTAGTTTAAGAATAGGGTGTGGGTGTAGGTGTGATTGTTTATTGTTTACTCACACACGCCCACACCCACACCCACCCTCATTTTAAAACTCATTGAACAAGAACCTAATAATTCATATAAATTTGGATGAACTGCAGGTGTAGTACCTAATTTTACACTATCTTTCATATGATCAGCACATCCACATGGTAATGTATGAATATAATTTTCAATTATTCGATATTCTTGTAGAAGAATTTCATTTGATATTTTAGAATTGATTTTCGAATCAAATTCACGGATTCTTTTAAAATAAATAAAAGAAAATAAAATTTTTCTTAAATAAATTTAATTAATACTAAATATTTAAATGCATGTTTTAAACGATTTGATAATGCCATACGATAAATATAGTCATGAAATAAATATTTTGTAAATAATATTGTTTTTTGTAAATCAATTGGTAAACGAAAATAATCTTTATTATTATCAATTGATATACGTGGATAAGCACGTGTTAATAATGAAACAGGATTACGAATTGCAGCAGTTAATTCTTGTGGATTTAAATATCCAATTGGATCAATACTTAATTCAAAAGAAATTGTTGTATTACCAAATGATTTATCAATCATACTAACATAATAAATACAGCCAAATAAGAGAAATGTACGTTTCATTGAAAATATATGCTATGAAGAGAGAAAAAAAACTATTCATTTATATTATTTAAATTTTATAAAAATTACAAAATTTTTAAATTATATTTACAGCTTCAGGAAATTCAATACCAGTTTCTTTTTGTATATTCATAGTTAATGTATTTTCTGCATTAACTGGATGGCATTCAATAGCCATAAGTAATCGTCCTTTATAACAAACTGCTTCACTCATTCCTTCACTAAGACCATCTTGATCTGTACTTATTGTATATTCTCTTGGACTGCCATATAAAAAAATCCATGTTGGACCTAATGTTGGTAAAAAAACCAGCTGATGGATTACTTTCACTAATAAGAAAAAGATCAATAAAAAATGATGAAATAATACGATCTTTTTGAATAGCTGCATGGCCTTCAAGTGATATTTTAATTATTCGTACAAGTGGTGAAAAACGACCAATTAAATAAAGTGCTTCACCCCAAACAGGTGTTGTACCATTACGAACTTCTGTTTTAACTACCATTGTATTATATGGAACTTCAACATTAGGATCAGTTGGTTCCCATGTATCTGATTGAATAATTTTTTTTGAAACAGTTGTTAAAAAATCAGCCATTATTCCAGGTAATTCAGTTGCTGTGAAAAATATTATTTTTAATTGTACTGGAAATAAACTTCGAGGCATAGCTGCAGGAATCAAAGTTTTTCTAAAGAAAATTTATTTAATGAAATAAAAATATAAGAGAAGAGACACGATCAGATTAGATGATATACTCAGGATTGAAAAATAATTTATAATATATCATAGAGCAATTCGAAACATATCGAATGACATATGGCAAATACAATGTATTTAAATTATCATCGATTACTGTTCCTTGTAATTATTAATAATATTTTCATGGTCTATAAACACATACATTTAACATATTCGATCATTCTACAGGATGTATACAAATGTTTTTCCAGGAGATTAAGGCTGTGATTTTAAATAGAGTTAATAGCAAATTTTATGCCATATGAAAGTGTGTCAAAAATGGGATTGATCAGTATTAAATGATAAGGATTCTGGAAGACTTCTTATATCAAACATAACAAATCTTGAGAAGCAGGATGCATAAAAATGGTTTTTTACAGGGGAAATGATTTGATTTTAAATAAGATCAATGACAAATTTGATATCAAATGAAAAGGGATGAAAAACATAATCTATTATTACTAAATAGTAAGGGTTCTACCAATCTTTTTATATCAAAAATAACAAATTTTTAGAAATTTCCGAAGTACTACTTTGTAGAAAACCCGTATTTTGAATCAAATTTAGTTTTGAAGCTGTCTCATGAAAGAAATTTATTCATACTAAAGTACCGAAAATTCCTAGAAATTTGTTATGTTTGATATAAAAAGATTGATAGAACCCTTACTATTTAGTAATAATAGATTCTATTTTTCATCCCTTTCTATTTGATATCAAATTTGTCATTGATCTTATTTAAAATCAAAGCATTATCTCCGTAGAAAACTATTTTTATGCATCCAATTTCTCAAGATTTGTTATATTTGATATAAGAAGTTTTCTAGGATCCTTATCATTTAATACTGATCAATTCCATTTTTGACGCACTTTCATTTGGTATAAAATTTGCTATTGACTCTATTTAAAATCACAGTCTTAACCTTCTGGTAAAACATTTTTACACATTCTGTATATTTAATCGATAGAAATGCAGTTTTTCCATGATTTATCACTATTTTCTACTTATGATGAGTTTCTTTTTGTTATAAACTTTTCTTCATAATATCATATTTTAACAGTTTGCCTATCAAAAGTTGACCTGATCTCACAATAAATCTTATATTTGAAATTAGATATAACAAACTGTATTGAGAAGCTAATATTTTAACCTGAACATTTTTCTATCAAAATTTGATCGATCCTTCCTGTTGACTGTCTTTTTCTGAATTTAACCTTACAATTCTCTACGGATTAAATTTTAACATAATAATCTTTACTTCAAATTATAAGTTATTCGATGCAATTTTATATGCTAACTTCAAATATCATCTTTAATTGACAAGAAAATTCATTTTTGATAGTTAAAAATATTTAATTACTGTATTACAACAAAACAAATGGATCTAAAAATTCGTCAACATTTCTTAATAAAAAATTATTTGAGCATTATGCAATCATTTTATATCATTCCTAAATATATAATATGTTTTATAATACTATTTCAAGAATAATTTCTGAAAAAGTTTAATACTTCATCATATTTTTTATGGTTGACATTGTGACTCACTATAAGCAAGTGAAAAACGATGGTATGTCATTGAAAAATCATATTTATATCCATTAAATATGGAATGAATTGGATTCATTAATTGAGCCCATTTTCGTTCAAATGCATGATCTTTTTCATTATATATTGTTGATACATCTATTCGAAAAACTCCTATTGGTTTTGTATCTGTAAATGTACTAATTATTTTAACGGCATTATGAACCTTAAAAAAAAATAATAATAATCAATGAAAATATGATTTATGAGCAATAAAACAAATGAAATAATTATAAAGTTCGTTAACTTAAATATTAATCAGTAAATTACTTAAATTGTCAATTATGATTCAATTAAATTTTTAAATACACTTGTTATAATCTATTTCTTTTTTGTCTAAAAACTTTGTGAACAAGAAGAATCATTGTTTTAGACTTATTTATTATTCATTATTTAAAACAAAAGAAAAGAATTACCTCAACAATTTATCTGATTTCTAATCTTTATCTATTCTCATATGTAAATATTTAGTATTCATCAAATAAAAATAATATATATCACTTATGTACAATTTGGCATATTTGTAACTACGGAACGGATACAAATTTTCTAATGTTAAAGCAGAAACAATGTTTTAGGTGTAACTACTACAATAATCAAAGAATATAGAAGCATTTCGAAAAATAATTTTAAAACTGTTTAAGTCAATCGAATGAAATTCATCCTTAGCTAATGCAAGAGTATGTTCTTAAAAGACCTACTGTTACAGTCTTATCTAATATACAATGAGAGGTGGTTATTTCCTTGGGTATTTCCACCTGCGCAATACAACATATTTTGGAAAAAAATCTATATACTATCTTTGGTTTTGGACTTGGAAATAACTCAGTTCAAATTAAATAGATCAAAGAATATAAAGAGAAAAGGAGCAGAGAAGAATGAGAAAGAAGGGAAAATAATATAATGAAAGAAAGGAAAGAAGGAAAATACCATATGATATATACGTAATAGATGTAGCGAACGAATATCTTCTTTGTTCGCTAACACCTACCAATATCTTTAGAATTATAGACTCCATCATCAAATCAATCAAAGATATGATTTTTATTTCATATGATTGTGCAAAAAAATGAACATGAGTTTAAATGAACATACCAAAAAAAGAGAAGAATGATGCACATTAGAAAAAACATCGATATGTAACTGTCTAACCTTGTTAAAAAATTATATATACAAACATATTGTGTATATGAAGATTCGTTTGACCTTACTATCAGTAACACAGGCTAAATCTATTTGACTTGATACAATAATTAATTTTCCGTTTATTCTTCGATTTATTTAGAATAATTTTCTATGAATAAATTTTTTTTAATCTTTTTTTTACTCCTACTCAAATTTAATAAACTGATCATCTTACTATGAATTACTAAAAATTTTAGTACTAATCATTTAGTATTTTTTTCAATGAATGATTTCATCTGTTTTTATTGCTTATTTAAATAATAGATACAATAAATTAAATATCATGAAGACAACAAAAA